TTTAAGGCTACTTCTCTTGAACTTACGATCGAGATACTTTTGGAAAATACAAAGTTTTGCCTTCCTAATTTTCGTTCTAAAAAGATATAATTCGTATCACTGAATAAATATTTCTTAAAAAGAACGAAAAGTTAGGCATCAAAACTTGTATTATTTCCTAAATTCGTTCATAAGAAGTAGTTTTATCTAACACAAGATGTATATACGAAGCAAAATACATACGTATACACGCGATAGTCACAACTTCAATGTGTAAACATCCTACGGCATATCCTACGGCAACCTGTGTACCCCTTACTTTGTGTATACGTAAATGCTATACTGTGGCTACATTGTGAGGCGGACGTTTAACCTTTGTGCATACTTGTTGAACTACAACGTGTAAACGTAGCATATTTACATCGGGGAAATTGTGTCACCCTGTGTCTACATCTAATAATGTAAACACATCGTAAATGTGATTTGATGTGCTATATGGGATCATACTAAAAAATATTAAAAGTATCTATATCTACATTCAACAAGAACATTTTATGCTAAATTTTTGAAGTTGATGGCATCAGTCCATCAGCAATTTATCAAATAACTGAAGAAATATGAGGAGCAGACTTTCTTGATGCAAAACTATACGTTCTCTAACCCAGTGTGAGTATATATTATCAAATCCAAAGCTTTGAAAGCGGGTGTAAAAGGACAATCACTCACAATCTTTAAGTTGTTTAATTTAAATTTTAATGCTTAAAAAAGCAAGGGGGCGACATGTTTCGGGAATTTAAACTGTTCCCATCATCAGGCCCAAAGCTAAAACAATTACAGAGGTCAAATTTATAAAATACAATGACAAGTTAAAAAGTCAAAAATTTTTTACAAAGTCAAAAAATTATAATCTATCACAAAAATTGTTCAATCACAGATAACAATATGATATGCTAAATTTGAAAAATTAAAAACAACTAGACATATATGTATATACAGGGTGTTTCAAAACAAATGCGAAAAACTTCAGGGGGTGATTCCTTGTTCAAAATAAAGGGTAGTTTGCTTCATAAACGTTGGGTCAAAAGTCAACCATTAGGGAGATATTGCGGTACAAAGATGGCGGAAAAATAATGTTTTTATTTTTTAACTTGAAAACGAAAAGAGATAGACTAATAAAATTTTATGGAAGCATTACTGTTATGAAAACACACTTTCTGGTAATTTTTTCACTTTTTTAATTGAGTGGAAGGGGTTGAAATAAACTACCCTATCATTCTTGTTAACGAAATTTAAAGAAAAATCTTATCAAACACATGCAAAAAAATTAATTTGGATAGTTTAGTCTGTTTAGAAACTTTTTTATCTCTTGTATTTTTTTGATAAATCTCACCGATTTCAAATTAAAAAATAAAATTTAAAGCATTACATGTCAGGACAAAAAACATTTTCTGATAAAGAATCTAGTGGGCTGCTGTAATTTTTTTAGGAAAAAATTTAATCGGCCGCTGTTACTTTTTAGGATGTTCCTAATATTATTTTATTTGACATTACTCTACTGCAATACGTTATTATCTAGATGATTATTATTATCGTTATTATCACTAGATTCTTAATCTAAAAATGTTTTTTGTCCTGACATGTAATGCTTTACATTTTATTTTTTAACTTCCAATCGGTGAGTTTTATCAAAAAAATACAAGAGGTAAAAAAGTTTCTAAACAAACTAAGCTATCCAAATTAAAGCATTTGCATGTGTTTGATAAGATTTTTCTTTAAATTTCGTTAACAAGAATGATAGGAGTATTTTATTTCAACCCCTTCCAATCATTTTAAAAAAGTAAAAAAATTACCTGAAAGTGTGTTTTCATAACAGTGATGCTTCCATAAAATTTTATTACTCTATCTCTTTTCGTTTTCAAGATAAAAAATAAAAACATTATTTTTCCGCCATCTTTGTACCGCGATATCTCCCTAATGGTTGACTTTTGACCCAACGTTTATAAAGCAAACTACCTTTTATTTTGAACAAGGAATCACCCCCTAAAGTTTTTCGCATTTGTTTTGAAACACCCTGTATATATACATATTGTGCCTGAAAAGTTTCCATAATTTATTTGATATTCTGTCAAATATGAAAACCTTACTTTATTGTTTGGATTTACTTCTGCAGTTTTTCAAGTTTTCTGGAGACTTGTTCTTGTTGGTCTAATCTAATATTGATGTATATACCTAAGTATAACTATAATATGAAATAAAAGTTGAATGAAAAAAAACAGCAGTATTTTTAATTTTGTATTCCAGTAGATGTTTTATATCTGTATCTTTTTTAGTTTTGATATACCAAAATAGCTTCTATTCTTATCATTTTATATTTTTAAAGAGTTCCTCTTTGTATCGTGTTTCAAGGATGTAAAATTTTCTATATTTATTTCACTTTTCTATTTCTCTAAATCGTATATCTTATTCCGCATCCCCGGTGAAAATATTGGATCTCACCACGCCAGAATAAATACAGAGGATATTTTAGTCAATACGGAAAATATTTTAGTCAGACTTTGTCTTTGAGAGTATTACTTAAAATATTTCCTCATAATTTTTGCAGGAAATTGACTTTTTATCGATGGTAAAATTTTCTTTGACATAATTTGATTTTTCTTGGGATTTAGATATTTTAATTAGTTTTTTTTTGTTTGTTCTTAGTGTTCTTTTGCTTTTGTTGACGGGTGTATACCTCCATAAAACGTTAAGGAGTTTTTCTCTGTTAAGGTGCGTTCACACCGGCTGCGCCGCTCCGAGCCGCGCCGCGCAAAACATTTTTTTAACGTGTAGTTTTGATGTTTTTGTTTGAAAATGATCTGTGCGACGCGGCGCGGAGCGGCTCAGCTGGTGTGAACGCACCTTTAGTCAAATTTGTTTTACTAGTAAAAAAATCACTGACACGCCGGTGTCCGTTTAGATACAACACACTAGTGTTTTAACAATGTTATTGTAACTGATCAGCATGGTTTCTTTGGAATCGAAATTTAATTGTATTTAAGAACGAATTGTAGACTGTGCTTGGTCTTTATTATTATCTATTATTTCTGTATTTTCTATTATTTTTGTGTTATCTATTACTTCTGTATTATCTATTATTTCTGTATTATCTCTTGTTTCTGTATTATCCGTTATTTCTGTGTTATCTATTATTTATGGACTATAAGATACAAATATATAAAATAACTATTTTATTTTGTAGATTTTTCTTTGAATAGCAAAAAGAGGCAGACTTTTTTCGAGAAACGAAAAAATTGTATCATCTGTTATTTCTGTATTATCTGTATTATTTATTATTTTTGTATTAGCTATTCAAATTGTATTTTTTGTTGAATGCCTCTGGCGTATAGGAAATAAATAAGTAAAATAACTAAATATTTTATTTTGCATATTTTTCTTTTAATGGCAAAAATAGCAGACTTCTTTTCAAGAATCGAAAAAAGTCACGTTTTTTCCGTCACGAAGATGTTATTTATAAGTATAGTTAAATTTCAAGTATATCTTATCGGTTAGTCTGAAAATTTGAAGCATTTAGTAGGAAGTGAACTCTAAAATACCAAATCGTATCAACTATTTCCGCTATTTACTGCTTGCTAATATTTACGAGGAATGAGCGACTCACTACTATCCCTCTGAATCTGCATAGACACAAAGCTGACCACAACAAACTTGTGGTTAACTATATGCAAGATAGCTCCTACAATATTGATCTATAATAGTATAGTACTGTACTAGTAACTGATTAAATAAGCTTAATTTAATAAACTTGATATATGCGTCGAAATTGTCCTAAGAAGAAAAATTAAACACAATCTTGGATTGAATTATCCAACAGGTTGTAGACAAGGAGATTTATTAGTTGATTGGCGGCCAACATTTTAGCTGTCGAGCTCATAAATGCAAATTTATAAAATTTCTCAATATTTATTGCCGGATAACGTTTTCTACTCCTGCTGACGTCAATACCAGTTTTTGTTATTAATTTTCCAAATAATTCGTTGAAGTGGCTTTAACTATGTTGTGATTTGTATAAATGAATTTATTTTTAATTAATGCCAGAGAAAATATCAAAAATTTATACTCTAAGTAATGAGTTCGTAATATGTAGGTATGTGGATGATATTTTTGCTGTTTTTGACACACATTCAGACACCATAGATAATTTTATTTCTAAGTTAAAAAATCGTTTTCCTTTCATTAAATTTACGCATGAAATTGAGAACAACGACAGATTACCATTTCTAGATGTATTAGTTATTAGAAATACTAATAATTGCCTGGAATTTGATATCTATAGGAAAAATACGACCACACGCAGATATATTCCTAATGAATCACATCATAGTGTTGAACATAAAATGGCTAGTTTAAATTTCTTAGTTCATAGATTACTTAGTTTCCCACTTTCCAACGAAACATATGAAATAGAAAGAGATTACATTAGGCATGTAGTTGAGTGTAATGAATATTCTCCTTCTCTAGTTGATAAATTAATTAGAAAACGTAGGTATAGGTTAATGATTTCTGAAAATTCGACTTTTCAAGTGGAGAAAGATACGTCTAAATATTTTTCGATACCGTTTGATAGAGAGTTATCCCGTGGTCTAAAAGGAATTTTTAAGAAAGTCTCATAATTTTTAAATTAATTAACCTTTGGATTCATTTTTGATTAAACCCTCTATCGAACAAACATTTGGCACTTTTGGGGGTAAAAATTGGGTCTAATTAGTCTTGGTCTAATTTTCAATTGTTCACTAAGAACAAAAACGTTCTAGTCACTATTAATAAAGATTTACGTTTCATTTTAACTCATTCATGTTCTAGTTTTTCATCCATGCCATTCTGATTTAGCTTAGGAGTTTTTGGATCAAGTCCAAATTTTTTGCACCACATTTAAAAGGCCTCACGCTTGTCGTTTTCTATCAAAAATGCCTTAAAGGATATTTAGTTTAATAGATCTTTTGATTTCTCTATTTCTGTTACAGGTTGCAATCAAAATTATAGAAAAGTCAAAACTGGATTCTAGTAACTTACAAAAGGTTTATAGAGAAGTAGATATTATGAAAAGACTGGATCATCCCCATATAATTAAACTTTATCAGGTGAGTGATTATTGTTTCTTATTAAGCCTAATATTTATAATAATATAATTTTTATACAGGGTTGTTCACCACATGCGACACGGAGTATTGTAGCTAAACGATTAGATTTTTACAAATTGTAAGTTTTGGGTTCGTTGAAGGATTATTAGAGCTACAATTTAAAAATATTTTTACAAGATACAGAATGTCCCAACTAAGTAAAAAATATTATAGTTGTATTTTTTTAAATGGAACTCCCTGTATATTATTCTATTTTTAGATTCTACGATTAAAATAAAGGTAAATTTGATTAAGGTTCATCATACTTAAACCTTACCGTTTTTGAAATATTTTCAATTTTATGAAATTGCAGTAAAAATTTTAAGGCTTCATTTCTCCAAGGGTATCAAAGTTTTTAATACTAAATATTTACTGAAGATTATTTATTGACCTGATATTGTGTTGCAATAATAAAAAAATTACTACCTTATACAGAGTGTCCAAAAATGTATATTAAATAATTACTAGCTTTAAACGGCAATAGCGTGTTTAATTTAAATGGAACACCCTATATATTTTGCGTGAATCAGATGCACAATGTAATTGTCTATCAAATTGTATTATACCATTTTTTACCTATCTCTTCAAGTTTTCGTAGAAAATGCATTTTCTTATAATTTAGACCTCATTTATCTCTATACCCATGGAATATTGACATTTTAGATTATTTTTAAAGATGTAACAAATTTTCCAAGAGTACGGATACTAAATTGTCGATATAGCTCGCTTATTTCATAAAAAAAATAAAAAAACTGTTTAAATATTTTTGTTAAAAAGGACCAATTAATATGATCCCAGTATTCAGACTACATTAATTGACTGTTTATGTTGATTAATAATAATTGCTCCAAATACTAAAAAACTGAATTTTATGTGTGTATTAGACAGTGTGGTAAAAAGTAACGCCTTATAAATTTTATTTCATTTTTTGACAAATGCTGATTTATAAAAACAGAGAAGTTTATTTTCATAATTTATTATTATATTGATTTCTGAGCCAAATCCACATTTATTTAGAATACTTTATTAATTAAAACAATTTAAAAGTATGTAATTAACTAATTTTTGGTCGGAAATAATGGTGGTATATTTAATTCGTATACTCTTTTATAAAGATTTAAATAGTTTTTTTGGTATACCAATAGGCTTGCAATATTTACCACTTGTACATTTTCTGCATATATGTTGCTTAAAAAAATCTGAAATGTCAATATTCCATGGGTATAGTGATAAATGAGGTCTAAATTATAAGAAAATGCATTTTCTACGAAAAGTTGCAGAGATAGGTAAAAAATGGTATAATAAAATTTGATAGACAATTAAATTGTGCATATGATTCACGTAAAATATACAGGGTGTTCCATTTAACTTAAACAGGTTATTGCCGTTTAAAGCTAGTAATTATTTAATATAAATTTTTGGACACTCTGTATAAGGTAGTAAAATTTTTATTACTGCAACACAATATCTGATCAATAGATAATCTTCAGTAAATATTTAGTATTAAAAATTTTGATACCCTTGGAGAAATGAAACATTAAAATTTTTACTGCAATTTCTTAAAATTGAAAATATTTCAAAAACGGTAAGGTTTAAGTGTGATAAACCTTAATCAAATTTACCTTTATTTCAATCGTAGAATCCAAAAATAGAATAATATACAGGGTGTTCCATTTAAAAAAATAAAACTATGATATTTTTTACTTATTTGGGACACTCTGCATCTTGTAAAATATTTTTAAATTGTAGCTCTAATAGTCCTTCAACGAACCCAAGACTTACAATTTGTAAAAATCTAATCGTTTAGCTACAATACTCCGTGTCGTCGTATGTGGTGAACAACCCTGTATTCGGTAATTTTTTATAAATCGTAATAGGTATATTTTATCATATGAACTGCATTTTGTAAGTACCTTACGCAAATAAATTTATAATCAGTCATCACTTGTCCGGAACTTCCAAAAACTTGTTTGGAAACCATAATCCATAATAATATGCCGCCTGCAGGAGATAAACGTGCGATGTTTATTGTAGACGAGAGCCGTATCCTTTACCCCTTACATCCTCTCTATCTAAGCCTAATTATCAGCCAAACTAGAAAATTAGATCTGAGGAGATTTAATACCCAGTACCAGCTAAATTATTAAACGGTAGAAGCCTCTCTTCATCCAGATCATGGTTTAATTAATGGCATAACAGAAAAAGAAATTAAAGCTTGGCAGAATACCGCGATCGTCAAGAAAATAGGCAACGGAGCGGCCGAAAAAGACGATCGGCCAGTTGCTAGGCGACGCCGTGACGTCACCGCCGTCATTGGCGTCACGACGCGGCGGCAGTCAAGTTGAAGGTAACGCGCCGAGATTTTACAACGATCTTGCGAAAGTTGAAATAAGTGGGTTGGATTAAAGACCCGAATTGTTCCTCGATGAATCGACTTTCGGTGCGGAAATAGCTCTTTGTTATTAGCTTTATTAAAGGTTTTGTATTACCCTAAAATTAAATAAGTTTATTAATGGTTAATCAGCAGAAAATAATATTGTAAAAGTGAATATTTCTGGAGCTTACTCAAACAGGTTTCACAATACAAATTTCAGCAAAATTACAGCAGCTAGCGAAACGCGGTTTTCAATTTAAGATTAGGAATAATATTTGCAACAAAATTTGTAATAACATCAAAATCAGTCAAAGTCGCAGTTTTTGAGATAATTGAAACTAAAATAACTGCCTACCAACTTTTTAACATATTTTAGTATGGGCGCCTATATGTGCCTCCCGATGCCAATTTTTTTAATTATAATAATGGTCAATAAAAGTAAACATGGTCGAAAAAAAATCGGCGTCAGCGATGGCGATAAAATCAAGTACCCTGTCATTTTATATGTAAAATTTCTAAGACAACTGGCTGCCGTTTTTTTTTTCGTTCATACAGTATTACGGTGGACTTACATTTTCCTCTAGTTTTACAAAAATATTTCGGGTTAAATTTTGAGAACCATTGTTTTTTTTCTGGGTTTTCGTTCTTCTATCTATTTTATTTATTTATTTATCGTATGGCTCATATACATGCAAGAAAACCAGACACTTAAACATAGACATAAAATAAACTACAATGTAAATGAAAACATTACAATGTAAATATAAAAAAAACAAGTATAATATAAAAAGACAACATAAAAAACGTATTTACGAACACTATATATTAACATCTAGATGCCCTATCCATTCCAAAGCTGATGGAGAAGCCTCCAGAAAGTCCCTCCAGTCTTCACCATAAGCGCGTAGGTTGCACTCTCTAGTTATGTGATGGATGGTTTGGTGAGGGGATCCGCAATCACATTCTGGGGAATGTATTTTTCCCCTCTTATAAAGGGAATCCGCACATCTTCCATGGCCAGAGCGTATCCTATTCAAAGTTGACCATGTTTTCCGGTTTAGATCGGTACCCGATGTCTGGCAATAGTTATGTTTGAACCAGGAATATAGATGCGCATCGGCCATTTCTCTCCATAACTGAAGCCACTGTTCTCGAGAATTGTAGTTACTGCTTTTTAGTTGTTCAGCTGTTCGCAAAGGTGGATTCCTCGACTTAAGTCTATTCACCTGTAAAGCAGGAAGTGTTTTATGAACAGGTAGCGTTGGGGTAGCTATTATTTTATCAAATTCTCTAAGAAGAGCCTCGTTTCTGCGTAGATTTGGAGGTAGGATGTTACTCAGAACTGGAAGCCAGTAACTAGGGGTGCATCTGATTGTTCCTGTAATCAGCTGCATGGTGTTGTTCAGCAGTCTGTCTACGAGATTTGTGTGGTGGCTGTTCAACCACACGGGTGCACAATACTCTGCCACACTGAATACCAGACCAAGGGCGGAGATCCGAAGTGTTGTTGCTTTTGCACCCCAAGAAGTACCACAAAGTTTTTGTATAATGTTGTTTCGTGTTCTGATTTTCCCAGCAACATTTTCTAGGTGTTTTCGAAATGAGAGTGTACGTTCTAGAATAATCCCCAGATATTTTGGATATTTGTTATTACGCAGAGTGGTGTTACCAAACTGGACGCTTATTTCAGTATTCGCCAGCTTGTTATTAAGATGGAAGGTAGCCACTTCTGTCTTATTTGCACTGGGTTGAAGTCTCAATTTTATAAAATAGGCATTCAAGGATGCGAGATCCTTTGTAAGCGTTTCTTGGGTTTGATATAGCGATTCATGTTCCGTTGCTATGGCTATATCGTCTGCGTAACAAAATTTTCTAGATTGCATATCTCGTAGGTCAGAGATGTATAAGTTGAATAAGAGAGGGGCGAGAACGGAGCCTTGGGGTAAGCCGTTGTTAAGTTTTTTAGGTTTACTTGTGCTCTCTCCCTGAAATACTTGGATATATCGGTTACTTAGCATGTTGTTGATAACTCGAGCTATAGTTTGACAAGGAAGTGCTTTAAGTAATTTATAAACCATACCATCTCTCCAGACTGTGTCGTAAGCGGCTGTTAAATCGACAAAAGCTATGGAGGTTTTAAGCTTAAGTTGGAAATTTCCTTCAATGTGAGATGTAAGTGCTAGGACTTGGTCACAGCAACTGCGTTTAGGAATGAAACCTGCCTGTTCAACTGGAATATGGTCTAAGATACTATCCTTTATTCTATTGAAAATAAGTCATTCTAGGAGCTTATCGACAACTAAGAAGGGCTATGGGTCGATAATTCTGAGGTTGATCTTTAGATTTTCCTGGTTTTAACACAGCTATTATTTTAGTTTTCTTTAGAATTTTAGAATTTAGAATGAGTGAGAGGGGGGTTAATCACTTCGACCTTACAGATCCATTGTGTCCCCCTTTCTTGAATCATAACTCATCATACAGTCCCAGGGCTTTGACAAAAGCCAGTATCTGGGACGGTTTTATAGAGGGTAGTTCTCCATCTCCAATATCAGTCGTACCAAAATTCATGGCACGAATGGTTGTCATC